AAAAAAAAAAAAAAAAAAAAAAAAAAAGGATAAAGTGCCTTGTACTCAAGATGGGGTGTGTTTTTTTCACTAAGATTCCTGTCTTTAACAAGTAGAGATGGGGTGAGGGAAAGATGTTGCATATAACAAACCATCCTATATTTTAATTTTGCAGTTACTGCTTTGCACAGCAGCTTTTCTTATGCTTTGCACAGCCTTGTAGTGTCTTTTCCTGTTGATGTGAAAGTGATGTGGCTGTATAACATCTTGCAGTGTTTCTCTGCACGCACATTTCCCCAGTTTGATTTCCAGAGGTGTGACAGTACACCCTCACCAATCCCAGACCGTTTAATCACTTCTGAGGTCCAGAAAGCATCTAGTTTGGCTGCAAACTCTCCTTCACGACTGACAGAAAATCACAGGCCTCCCTTCCTTAGAAAAGGATGGAAAATTAATTCTTCATCCCACAGAGTACCCTGAGGTGAAATACCAGCAGTGATTATAAAATTGCCTATGTGCTACAATGATGACGCGTGTTTTAATCCCTGTATAAATTTCAAGAGAGATAACTACCTTCAGATCCACCTCTGCTTTTCAGAACTGGTTTTAGCATTTTCTAGGCAGGCAAACCTATTTTTTACTACCACCCTCAGTTAACTTTTAATTCCTCAATGAACAGCAAGGAAATCCAAGTGCTGACAGGAGTGGTCTGGCCAATCACTCTGCTGCAGTTTGAGATGTTACTGTTCCCAGTTGCTCGCTCTTCTTTGCTGGCTGTGGTTAGCATCATCACAGCCAAGTCAGCAGAAGGGAACATATGCCTGCACCTCAGTTGCTTCCATACAACGTCCAGAATGAACCAATCTTCAGTAACAGTTGAAGACAAGATACTAACTTCTCCCCAAAGTAGCTGATGAGTGAGGCACAGATCATCCTCCTCTACTGCCTCTGTTTTGGGAATGGTAATCCAAAGTACACATCAGTGTATTAGAGATTTCCACTTATCCTATTGGTCATGGTCTAGTAATGCTCAGCATCCGGAAACAAAAAAAAAATCAGAGAAAATTTTCTGTAGCTGACAGTGTGACGTGCACCTGAAATCAATTTGGAAGCAGCAAAGTCTGCGAGACCACATTCCTCATAGCAAGAGCTGCTGAGTCATGGCCTGATACTGAACCAGCTGAGATTTCTGAGAAATTACAATTCAAATTTGATGTCTCATGGACAGGTGTGGCTATGACAAAGTCCATGTCAGAGAGATGACGTGCAGATGCAGATCCATGAGTTACCTGTGCAGGCATACCTACATGGTCCACATGGGCTCTTCCCCAAAATGTAGACTTTGGATAGCAATAGAATAGGAGTCAAAAACAAGCCAGCATCACTCCCAACTTCTCTCACCTACCCCCCTTTCAAATTGCCAAAAGAGATATTCAGACAACAGGCATTCACAAACAGGTCAATAATGTTTCTTGATCAAATGGATCAAAAGCTGCCGATAGATCAAAGAATCTGCCTGGGGTTTTGACCTCTAGGAGCTGCTCATCCCCTAACAGATCTAGAGCTTGTGTGCCTCACTCAGCCTCTGAGAGGGGGAAGAAATGCAAGAACAGGAAGTACAATGTCAAACTGGGGTTGACCCATGACAATCTTGCCAACAACCATATCAAGAAAGGAAAGGTTAGAGCCAGGGCAACACTGAAAATGTAGATCAATAAAAAAAGGGTTAGGATGGTTTAACAGACACCCACCTTTATCTTGCTTAAAGAAAGCTTGTCTCATGTTTTACCAACTTCCATGACACTATGCTGGAATAACTGTAAAGCACCAAACTAAAACCTCCCTACAATCTCAGGCAGCAAGATAGGGACAAAGCTGATGAAGTAAAATTTCTTACCTTTATCCTCAGAACTTGAACCAAACACCTAAAAAGTACTTAAGACAGTCCTCATGCAAGGAAATTCTGGAAGTTCTTTCTGACTGGAAATCTTTTCTGTCTGTGGTCCCACCTGCACCTGCCAAGTGAAATGTCCCTTTGAGGCATGGCACCAGGCAGAACCAGCTCATGCTGCTGGGGAAACAGGACCCTGAAGCTCCTGAGTCCCACTCATTCTGAGAGGCAGCTCATGGCAGAAGTTATTGCCTTAAGATACAGAAGAGCCTGCCTAAAATCACAAAGTGCCTGTTAGCCACTTCCAGTGATGGAGGCC